AAAAAAAACACGTTTGACCCAAAGCAACTGTTGGACAGCATGAAGGGGAAGTTTTTGGGTAGCAAATGCCACCTTCCAGGGGGGTACATTCATGGTGCCAGGAATGTACACCCCTACCTCGCCACCTTCCAGGGGGGTACATTCATGGTGCCAGGCATGTACACCCCTACCTCGCCACCTTCCAGGGGGGTACATTCATGGTGCCATGGATGTACCCCCCTCCCTCGCTACCTTCCAGGGGGGTACATTCATGGCACCACTGTTGTACCCCCCCTGAGGCCTGTGTTGGGGGGTACATTCATGGCACCACTGTTGTACCCCCTTGAAGGGCCGTGACGGGGGGTACAACAGTGGTGCCATGAATATACCCCCCCAAAAAAGACACTAAGGGGGGTACATCCATGGCACCATAAATGTACCCCCTAGCTGATGCAACGCTATGGGGGGTACATTCATGGTGGGGGTACATTCATGGTCCTACACCGGTATAAGACGGATTCAAACACAGATGCCGAGCACCATTGGGTACAAGTGCAAGGCTGATCCGGAAAGTGAACGCCCGTCACATAGCCGAAACGAACCTGCCGAGGTCAGCCTCAGCCTGTATGCAGGCTCTTGTAGCGCCTGATGGGTAGGCAACATCTTGCCTTCGACGCATGCGTGTACTGCGGGGTGGCCTATACCGAGTCTCGCAGGCGCCGAGCCCTCACGTAACTTATGCCAGTTTCTGGACGAACCCTTAGTTGAGGAGGACCGTAAGAACGGATATGGCCTCCTCCTTTCGTTTCCTTTTCCAAATAATGCTCACCTCACCTATGAAAGGGAATAGTGGATGGTAGTCGTCCTCACGGCATGGCGCGCGGATGCGGGTGGCGGCGGCGGGGTCTGCAACAAGAAGACGCACGTGACGGTCAGACACGGTACGCACTGCAGCAAGCTAAAGGGGCGAGCGAGGGACGAGGAAGAGAGGATGGGAGTGTGCAACGAGGAAAAAAGGGAAGGGAGGAGGAGACTTTTACTGCTGGTAGAGACAGTCTTGGTCACTGTCTAAAAACGAGGGAAAAGAGGTAAAAAGTCGTCCATTTGGTGGCGACACACGCAATGCTCCCTCAGGGGGGGGGGGGGGGGCTTCCACCTCCCCGAGGCAGCTCCGCGTGTCAGGAACGCGTTTGCTCCGTAATGCACACGAAACACGCAAATATACATAAAGTAAGAAAAGGCCGAGACTCCCGTTTTCATGATTTTCATTTGTTTGGCATATCGACCCGTTTGACATTTTTATTTAATTGCTCTTATTGTTCGCGGGGGGTGATATCCCGTTCTTTTTCAAAAATCAAAATATTTTCAAAACTTGTATATTATTTCTTTTTTCCCGCCCAACATTCAGCGGTGTACTCCACGAGCGCACAGTGCGCGCGCGGGGGAGGGCAAAGGTTGCTGCAGACAGACGCGCTCGCCAAAGGAGGAGTTGTGAGCCGGCTGAGTCTGTGCGGGGGAGAGGAGGGGAGGGGCGCAACAGCTGGACGAGAAAGGGGGAGGGGAGGAGGGGGAGATCACCCACTAGGGCCTGACGTCACCTAAAGGCACGCGGGGGCGTGGCGAGAGAGAGAGGGAGGGAGAGAG